AGACCAATTCAGGAATGAAGTTATCAACGACCTGAAGCTAGAAGTATGCAGAATAGTTAGAGAAATGCTAAGCACCACCCAGGAAAAAACAGATGGTGGAATGGAAGAACAGAAAAAGAGGGGAGAATTGCTTGATGGAGAAAACAGAGAAAGCATTGAGTATGTGAAGCAGGTTCAAAGGGACTATCAAGAAATTAAGAAGTCTATCCAAGACTGGCATAACAGCTTGAAAGAAACTAAGGACAGACTATCTGAACTGGAGGGCAGACTTGAAATATGGGAGAACGAAATGAAAAACTTCTTAAAAATAACAAAGAAACAAACAGCAATAATACAAAGACAAGAAGATGATAAGAGGATCCATAACTTAAGAATTAAGAACATAAAAGAAGAAGTAGGGACACAAACAAGGGAACTACAAAAGCTACTCACAGAAATAATCCAGGAGAATTTTCCTAATTTAGCAAAAGGTAAAGATACTCAGATGTATGAGGCATACAGGACCCCAGCTACCTACAACCCAAACAGAGCAACACCCAGGCATATAATAATAAAAATTCCAGAAATTCAATACAAGAACAGAATATTAAAAGCTGTAAGAGACAAGAAACAGACCACTTACAAGGGAACACCCATCAGAATTACAGCAGATTTCTCTGCACAAACCATCAAATCACGAAGAGCGTGGGGGGAAATAATTCAAGCTTTGAAAGATAATAATCTCCAGCCAAGATTGAGATATCCTGCACAACTGTCCCTGGAAATTGATGGAAAAACGAGGTGCTTCCAGGATAAAGAGGAACTGGGGGAATTTGCAACCACCAATTCAACTCTACAGAAAGTATTGCAGGATATTCTAAAAAAAGAAAAATACAAAGAACCCAGAAATAGTGGCAGGGAGGCCACAACGAATGGAGCAGAGAACAAAATGAAGAAGACAAACTGACAGCTACTGACGGAAAAAGAGCTCAACAGAAATGAGACAGAGAAGATTGGATGATAGGAACAGCTATTTTGGAGAAAATGACATCTTAATAGGTAATGCTGATTTAGTACCATCTTGTTTTGAAGTCTCATCTAGCTTTTGTTCTTCTGTCTCCAATGGTCTAAACAGGTTGTATCTTAATTGGATTTTGTTATGTATGATAGTATAAGAAAAAACCTTTTAAAGACAAGGAGATTATACAGAGACCATTGTTCATTTTCTGTTAGTCGATTCTAAATACTCTATAATGCTGTCATTCTCTTAAATGGTTTTACATTGTTTTGATATACTTAATGCTACAGTATATGAAGTTGTACTCAAGGACTTCAGGGAGGGAGTCAATATGGTAACTATTTTTGGGTCGGAAATATCTGGTGGTGAAACACTATTCTGCTTAAATGGTTATGTTTTGATCTGCCCTGTTTCGCTGTTATGCCCTCTTTTTTCTCAATCTCCACTCCATTATTTACTTTTTAATTTTTATCCATTTAATTAAAGGGAAAAATATAGCAGGATATAATATAGTAACCCACTTTGACTTTCTATTATCTCGATTTGAAGCCCTGTATTACTCTCACCATGTTGTTTTTGACTGAGGTTCCTCTATTCTGTTTTGCTGGATAGTATCAGGTTCGAAAGTTTAGGCATCAGCTGAGAAGATAATGAGATTCATTATAACGCCCATTCTCGTTGACTTCTATCTACTTTTGAAGACCTACAATATCTCCAATGTTTTGGTTTTGTCGGTTTTATTCTTTACGGTTTTGTTCAATTGTATTACAACTAATGATATAGGCAATTCTATTAGAGATAGCGGGAGGCATTATGGTGACCATTGTTGATCACCTTGTATTATGTTTTTATATTATCTATTATATCCACCCTTTTGACTTGACCGATTCTGTTCTGTTATGTCACATTTGGTTTTACTCTCTTCCAAAAAAGCAATAAGAACCGTGGGAGCAATGAAACCCAAAATGTGTAATAGTCACTGTACAAAAGAGAGGAAAAGAAAGTGCTCTAAACTATATAACTGCATGTATATTTAAATGTATAAGATAGAAAATGATATCACAGAGTTTTATTGGATCATTGAACAGAACTGTTTGCAGTATCATTGTTGGAATGTCCACTCTACAAGCTTTAATTTTGTGACTTGAACAATTATTTCTAAGATGGCAATATGTAACCCATTAACTAGTGGTTTCCTACTGCGCATTTTTTTCTTCTGTAAATCTGTATAACTTGTACCCCTTCACTGTTTTTTTTTTTCTTTCTTTTCTTTTCTCCTTAAATAAAAAAAAAAAAAAAGAAAGAAAAAAAAAGAAAGAAAATTGAAATCCAGCCTAGGCAATTTAGCAACGTAGTCTCAACATTTTAAAAAGGCCTCGAAATGTAGCTCAGTACAAAGACATGGGGTTCCATCCCCAGTGGCACGGGGTGCAGGTGGGAGGCGTCAGCGACAGGAAACATGGATTCACAAAAACTAGCAATGGGGCTGCTCTGGATGGCTTTGTCTGTGGCAGCGTTGAAGTCTCTCAGTTTAGAAGAATCTGCTACTGAATGTTTTTAGACAAACTGGGAAGTGCCTCAGTACATCCAAAAGCAAACACCACCCCTCAATTATGATACAGGTGCAGTTTCTCACTGTTTACCTTGCAATCTTAAGATGCAAACCTTCTTCAATGTGCACCTGTCAGCAAGTGCTATTTGCAACACTCAACGCTGCCGCATATCAGCCGCTGAGAGATGACAAATGCTAAGAACAACGCTGGTGGAGGGGACGGCAGGTGGGTTTGGGGTGAGCTTTTTGGTGGTTGGGCCAATTCCCTAGGACCCCTGCTTGCACATCACTCAGCAGGTGCTGTGCCTGAGCAATCCGCAGTCATCGGGAGGAGGTGAGGGCACGGACGGACTGCCAGTGGGGAAAGCGGAAGGCTCCCGCGTCGCCCTTGATGTCACCTGCCTTTTAATCCAGCTTGAATCCAAGACACAGCTGAGGGCTGGAGAACCTCAAGATCCATCCTGCTGGGAAAGTGACACTGCTGAGACATGGTTGTAACTGGAGATGGTGGCATGCGCCTGTGATCCCAGCACGGAGGAGGCTGAGGCAGGAAGATCGCCGCTAGTTCAGGGCCAGCCTGCACTGCGTAGCGAAACTCAGTCTCAAACAATAAATAGATAGACGCAAAGAAATGAAAGGTAGTTACGGTAGGATTGAAGCCACCGCCTTGCATTATCCGAATGAGTGACCGGGTCATAAGCAAATCATCTCCAGCAGAAGCTACTGGGGGAAAAAGGGATTTTCAGTGTAGATGAAACTATTTTTTCCTGAAAACTGATACCCATGCCCAGACAAATGTAAACTATCTGAGCAGAGAGAATAGTCTGGTTTTTAAATTTCTTCAAGAGGCGATTCCTATTTCTATTTCTACAGTATCTCAATACCAACTTCATACTCTTCTTAGTATACTAGGAATCCTAGATCTGTTTAAAAAATAATAATAATAAACTTTGAGGAGTAGACTACAGACTCTGAATTCTGTCTTTTTTTCTTATAGTGTATTAGTTGCAAACATTTTGCCTCATTGGAGACAAACTCACAGATTCACATCTGTAATCCCAACTGCTTAGGAGGCTGAGGCAGGACGATTGCAAATTCTAGGCCAGCATGGACAATTTAGTGAGACTATATCTCAGATATGTTTTAAAACAAAATTATTTTAAAAGGACTTGGAGAATAGCTCAGTGGTAGAGCACGTGGCCTAGCATGCATTGAGCTCAAGGTTCAGTGCCTAGCACTACAAAAAACGGGGCAGGAATAATTCAATTCATAATTTTAAAGTGGTTTGTGGTGGTACCAATAGCTATCTCTGGGAAGAGACCTGTTACAAGTTTATTTATTTATTTGTTTTTGTCTTTTTCATTTTTACCGGTACTAGGGATCGAACTCACGACTGCCTGCTTGCAAGGCAGGTGCTTATGCCGCTGAGCTAAATCCCCAGCCCCTTTGTTATTTAAAGGCAAAAAAAAAATGCAGGGATCTTTGGAAAAACGTTTTTTCCATGGTTTTATTTTTGGTTTTTGCTACTAGGAATTGAACTCAGGTCCTTATATTTGCCAGGCAGGTGAGCTAAATCCCTGGACCCTAGAAAAATGTTTTTAAAATTTTTAGAAAACCAATGTTAAAAATAAACCAGCATTCAAGCAGGCAGTCGTGAGTTCAACCCCCGGTACCGATAAAAAGGAAAAAGACACACACACAAAAAAACAGCATTATAAAATTTCCTTTTCTCTCGTGGAGGTCATCTACCCACATTAATTACGTGGCTAATGTCACTTTAGATTCAGAAAAAAGGGCTCTTAAGACCCTACCTGGGCCGGGGGTTTAGCTCAGCAGCACAAGCACCTGCCTCGCAAGTGTGAGGCAGCGGGTTCGATCCCTGATACCAATAAAAAAGCCCTAACCTGTTCCTAAGGTAAAGCGCTCGTGTTCTGTGCGGGAGTAGGAACTAAGGAAGGTGAATAGGGACCGAGGGTCAGACTGTGTGGCATTACTGTTTCTGTCTCCGCTGTGTAGTGTTGTGTCTGAGATGTCCCCTGGGCACACGCTGTGTGTGCTGAAGTGTGCAGGGACTCATGATGCCTGCCCTTGGCAGATCCAGGGCCAGTGGGCGTTCGCTCATTGTACTGTCCTTTCAATTGTCTTTTTGTTTGAAACAGAGAGAGATTACTTGGAACATGATACGATGTGATATAATATAACAAAGACTCAGTATGTATTAAAAAAAGAGCCAGGCACGGTGGTGCACATCTGTAATCCCAGCACCCAGGAGGCTGAGGCAGGAGGACCACTGCAGGTTCAAGACCAGCCTGAGCTACCAAGTGAGCCCAAGGCCAGCCTGACCTGCAAAAAGACAAAAAATAAAATAAAATAAAGAGGAGGAGGAGAAAGGGTGAGTTCTAAACACTTTTCAAAGAACTAACACAATTCATTTTCTGTCTTTTATTTTAGGCTCAAGAAAAAGGAAGGTTAGACTATGCTAAGGTAGGTAGATTTTATATATGCTCTTTTAAAATGTTAGTGTGATGTTTAATTTCTGTTTGTATTTGAAAGGCCAAAAGGGAGTCATATTTAAAGCTGGGGAGATTTCCCATTGAGTATCAGTCATTAGCAGGTGGAAAGACATTCTTCAGCTGTAAGTGTGTTTATCAGAGAGTGGCTGTTTCATTCCGGATACCACAGTATCAGAGTACAGCCAAGCAAATGGAGTTTTCCCTTTCAGGACGTTTATAATCTATCGAGAGGTACAGATAACTAGATAAACAACTAAACAGATAATGCAATGTCAGTGGCAGCAAGTTCTATAGAGAAAAATAAAACAGGCCGGATTGCTGACCACTGTTGGAAAGATGCCTGCAGCCTGTGAGTATAAGACAGCTTTTAACACTGTTAAAGAATAGCAGGTGTCTTGGCCCGTGTTCTATTGCTATAACAAAATGCCTAGAAGTGGATAATTTACAAATGAAAGAAGTTTACATGGGGCCAGGGAGATAGCTCAGAGACTATCAGGCACAAAGTCCTGAGTTCAGTTCCTGGGACCAAACAAAGAGTTTATCTGATTTATGGTTCTGGAGGCTTTGGGAGTCCCTGAATAGTGCCAACATCGAGTGGGACCTTTCTGGTCTCTGTCACACGTAGAGGACCACCTGCAATGAGGCGTGCCAGCTGTGCCTCTTCTATGCCATCTTTTGTGCCCCACTTCATGACCCCTTGACCTGGAGGCTTAAGTTCCCAGCATGGGGACCTTTGGGGATAGATTCAAACCGTAGCATCTCGGGAACACTGTACAAAGCAGGTCACCTGCGGAGCCTTATAAATACCCCTGCCTGGGTACCACTGCATCACAGCCTCTCCCAGGATCAAAGTGCCCTGTGGGGAAGCAGCGCGGGTCAAGCTGTGTGTTGATAATTCGATGCACAGTTCTAACCACAAGCTGCTGCAGGAGCTGGCCGCCCAGGGCACAGTGCGGCCTGTCCACATACTCGGTCCCATCTCCCACTCAGGGACTCGAGGATATGCTGCAGGTCTGTGACACGCACACCATTGCTTGGCTGCCGGAGCACGCTGCGTGGTGGATGCGACAGCCTGGAGGGCCGCTGTCCAGCCCACACCACCCCTCCACCGCTCGGCGCCTTTGTTCTCCTTGCCCAAAGTCCATCCCTCCTTTTTACCTGCCTCTGAACTTTTTTTTTAACTATCTTAACTATTTTTATATACATACACATACACATATGTTCTGCTTCTCAGCTTCTCACACTAATGAGACAATACGATGTTTACACATGTGTCTTAATTTATTTCACTTATGAGTGTGGTCTCACATTGCATCCATTTACTTATGAAAGTCTCCAGTTTCCCCTTCTTTGTGGCTGAGTAGTGCTCCATTGAATAAAAGTACTGCATCTTTTTATCCAATCCTCAGTTGGTAGGCATTAGGTTGTTTCCAAGGTCTGGCTATTACAAATTCTGCCGCTACAAACATGGGTGCACATACATCATTGTGCTATGTGCACCCCAAACTTTTGCCTCTTTTAAGAACAAGTGAACAGTGGTGTCCATCCTGTCCCCTTCCTTAGGTGGCGAGTGTCCCAGCCTCCCTGTCCGTTGTGTCGCGTTTGCTTGCGCCTCCTCCTCTACCCACACGGGCTGTGGATGCAGCCGCTCGGGCCTTGCACATGTGTGCAGCCTGGGTGCCTCTGAAATCGAGCTCAGCCTCCCCTGGAGACACTCACCTTTTTGCTTTTGTGCTGTCATCATTTCATGACTATTTTTTAGAGCGGTTTTAGGTTCTCGGCAAAACAGCCCAGCAAGAAGGATCCTCTACACCCCTCACACCCACACACGGACACGCGGCCCCACTACGGAGCAGGTCCCAGCAGCACTGTCGCTGTGCTCGCCAGTGAGCCTACACTGCCACACCCAAAGTCCCCGCTTAGCTTTCTCTCCTCCCAGTGCTGGCACCGCCCTCATCCACCAGGAGAGGCCCCCAGGGACCCTCTGGCCTCGTCTCCCACCCCAGGCACCACAGAATATAGGACACAACATTTCCGTCCTGTGCCTCTGCTTAGACCAGCTGCTCCCTAGGGAAGCATCTTGCTTTGTCTGCCACCCCCTGCTCGCTGCTGGCCTCCTAGGGGGGGTCCTCTGGCTTCCCCAGCTGGACGAGGTGTTCTCCTCCTTCCCAGGCTGCACCCCGCAGCTCTCAGGGAGTGCAGTTTCTCCTTCGTTGTACAGTGATCTTTAGGTGGCAGATTGTAGATGTGGGTGGCTCTTGGGGGCAGAGACAATGTTTTTTCTTTTTTATAAGCCTGTGGTGGTTTCAAGGAGGACAATTACAGACAGGACACATAATGTATGGTATTATTTATAAGGATCACCCAAGGAGGCAAATACAAAGAAGGTGCAGGAAATCTGTTCACAACACTACAGGCCTAGAAAACCCAGCCGAGGGCCTGGACCCCATGGCTGCATGAGCTCAGCTGCAAACCTAGAGCCCACGACAATGACCCCTGCAGGTCTATCCTGCGGATCTGCACAGGGAAGGCCCAGAGGTCACTGGTCGAAGCTAGAAAGCTTGTGCCAGCAGGGTGAAGGCTCTGTGCCAGCAGGCTCAGGGTTCTGCAGTGGAGCCAGGAAGCGATGCTCAAAATAAGGACCAGCGTTCCCCTAAGAAGTACCACAGCCATCCTCAGCGACAGTGAAGTCCTGAGCTCCTCCAGCAATCAGAACAGCCAGGTTCATACCAGGAAGCCAGCATGACAAGCTTCCCCTGGAGATTAAACAGCACACGTCTTCCCCTCCAGAGCAGGAAGCGATGCTCAAAGTAAGGACCAGAGCTCCCCCAAGGGAACCGCAGCCACTCTCAGCAACAAGGTCCCGGGCTCCTCCGATGATAACAGCTGAATTCATATCAGACAAGCCAGCATGACAAGCTCCTCCAGGAGAACCAGCGGCTCCAAACAACACCACCACTTAGGAGAGCCCACACTGCTGCTGCTCCTCTCCACATCTCCTCTTTATGCTGGCAGCAGTTCTCAGGGGCCATCCACACTCAGCACCATGCTGATTCAGTTCAGCAGGTGTTTAAGTTGACCACCAGCTGCCTACCCACTAGACCTGTGTTTGCGGGGTGTGACTCAGGGCAGGATGCTTGCCTAGAGTATGCAAAATCCTGAACTCAATCCTCATACCACAAGGAAAAGAAGTAGAGAAGACCCAGGAAGTAATTTGGGAAGAAGTAAACTGCAGGAGAAAAGCTTTTAATCACAGTGCAGCGGGAAATGGAAAGTTTTTGACACATTGCAGGTCTAAACAGGGTTAAGTAGTCACAAACTGATTTGAAGATAAAGGCTGGGATTTTCTGTGACAGTTAACAAAAGCAAACATGCAAATAGAAACAGAGGAGGGTGACTATGGAGTGTCAACACTTGTTCATGACACAGAGAATGCTCTGGGCTGCGTATCACAGAAGCACGCGGACGGGGAAGAGGTTTCTATTGGAAAAGGCAAGCAGGTTAGAGTGCCGCGGACCCTGCAGTGCAAAGCTCACTGCAGACTCTGACGCGGGGCCCTCGGCTTCTCAGTGGAGAGACCAGTTTAGAATAATGCTCTCCTGCTCTTCAGCCCACTCCAATTTGGGAGGGACCATTCTCCCCTGTGTGGTGCTGAGACCAGTTCACTCCCTTCTCCACCCAGCAGTTCTGGGATGCAGAAGACATCCGAGGCACTGCTCCTGCTAAGGTGACCGCTGCTGCAAACGGCCCTCCTGTGGGCCTCGCATCACAACCCCTGGACTGTGGCCTTGCTGTCCAGGGGAGCCGCTCGTCGCTTGCTCTTTGCCTTCTTCACTATACTACACAATCCTACACTTAACACGTCTGTCTGTCCATCACCCTCCTCGTCACAGGCCACCATGTGGCGGTGCCTGACGCAGTGTGAGTGCGTGAGTGGTGCTCTTCCTGCTAAGCCAGCAAGCACTTAGACAGCTGATAATTCCGTAGGCCCTTCCCTTCCTCTTAAGGAGTCCCTCTGCCCCCTGCTCAGGCCCAGCCACCAGGGTGATGCGGCTGCTTAACCATATGCCGCTGTTCCAGCTTCTAGGATGGGAAAGCAGAGAGCATCTTACTTACCTAGTAAAAACTACACAGAAAGGATTTATTAAATGGGACAAATTACCACAAGTGAGTCGCGCCCCAGCAGCTAGTGCTAATAGTTTTGCTCTTGTGCATAGTGCTGTGAGATCTGAATCACACCCGGTCTGTAGGTCTGTACTCCAGCGAGTGAATCTCAGGCTCTTCCGGATCCTTAGCTGCTGGCCCAGTGGGGAGGCACAGTGGATCCGGTTCTGAGCTAGAGAAAAGAGTGCCACCTGTTGAGCTGCAGGAATTCTTGGGCATGCGTGGAGACGGTGGAGAAGGCTCTCGGACACATTCGCGCTTGGTTTGCTATGGTAACTAATACGTATGTCTAGAACAAAATGAGTGTGTTGACTCCCCTTGCTTAGAAAAACATCTACAAGCGTCTGTGTATTTTCCCCAGCTAGAGCTGAGCGTCTGCCTGCAGTTCAGCCCACTGCGACTTGAAATCAGCGTGCTGCTAAAAGACTGAGGCAGATGGTATTTTTGCCACTTCAGGCAATACATGGCACCTATAGATCGACTTTCTGCAATTTTAATTTTTTAACATTTTCAAAATGGCTTGTTTAAATATCTCTGTTACACACAGCCAGACTTGCTCCCAACTTCCTTTTAATAATTGCTTCAGATAATACAGACACGAACAAATATCGTTTGGTCAAAATCAGACTGTACGAGCATTGCGGAGTCTGCCTTCTGGTTATTCTTTTGGGGGTAGGAAGGGTGTACCGAGAATCGAACTCAGGACCTTGCACTGTGCCGCTAAGCTATATCCCTAGTCCCCAACATCCATGCTAATTTTGAAACACTCTAAATGGTTTATGAACAGCTTGCTTAATATTTACCTCT